GCCACCTTCCCAGAATAAATAGCACTGGGCTGGAGGCAGAGACCTCAGTTCAGTGCTAACACTTCACCTCAGTAGCTGTAAGACCACAGGCAGTTCTCCTCTCTGAACTTCAACTTCCTCCTCCATCACACAAAGAAGTTGGATTGAGTTCCTTCCAGCCCTAACAGGATCAGTGAGGTCACCTCAGGTCAGCCTCTGAACCAGACCAAAGGGAACCTTTTGAGAAGATTGAGGAAGGAAGATGGGTCAAAAAACTGTCCTGTAGGAAGGACACATTATAAGCCAATAAACATCTAAGCACCTACTGTGCTGGCAGGCACAGAGGCTGCCCCTCTGCAGGTACAAAGTTTCACAAGGCATGACCCCTTTGTCCTATCTGATTAGAGAGACAAGATGTAAATAAAAGCTTTAACAAAGATAAACAACAACTGAATTAAGCAACACTTTGAGACAATAATACTGAATTCACCAGGCAGGACCTGATAGGTACAATGCCAGTGTCCAGTACAACCTTTGCCATCTCGTGGAAGATTCACAACACGTAGGGAAAACACTTCCTGCCTCGGGTCAGTGTACAGAAACTTGACCTCTCAGGTAGGAATTATATAATGATACAGCAGTCAAAATGGATGGGGGAAAGGGCTCAGAAGCACTAACTCCATTCAGAATCACAAGGACAGGAGAGGAGAGGTGTCAGACTAGAGGAAGCTCAAAAAATAGTAAAGGACAGCAGCGTCTCCAAAGGACCAGACTTCAGTGGGATGGTGGGTGGGCTGCTCCTGTGCGCCACTCACAGGACCCAGAAGGACCGCATGCGTCAGAGCCTCTGCCAGTCGATGAGAGGCCCCTGCCTGCGGAGGACAGAGCCTGGACAGGGAGCTGGCGGTCTGGACTCCAGTGCTCCGCTTCACTTCCCGCATGAACTTGGGCAAGACATTTCCCCTCTCCTGTCTCCATTTCCAGAGCCTGGGGATCAGCCCAGGGTCCTTGCATTTGGGGAGACCAATGACCTGAATCCCCCTGAGCTCTGTCGCTTTGCAGAAAAATGTTTTCTACCATTTGAAAGATGCAGCACAATCTTCCTTCTTCTTGATCCACAGCAATGCACAGGTGGGTATTGCACCCCAACCTTCAACCTGGTCACAACCTGCCTCGTGACAGCTTTGGATCTGCCACAGTCAGATCATCTGTGAAATGAAACCACACGAAGAATCTCTAGGGTGAATGTTGATCTCATCCCCAAGTGACCGAGAAACATTCTGTACACGTGTGTGTATACACAACCATGAGTGTGGCAATGGCCACGTAATTATGCAGCCCCACTCCAGTGGGGGGACTAGCAAAGTCTCAGTTTTGCACATAAATCTCTTGCTCTTTAAGTGACTAGCAAAGTAATCCTTGAAAAATGTGTTATTCACTGAATGTACTGTCACAAGAGATGGTTACTCATCTGAAACACTGAACTCACTATTAGTCTGAGAATGAAAGCCCAGTTTCTGTCCAGCATGGGGACCAGCCTCTGCCAAGTCCAGATGCAGGTTAATTCCATGGGTTCAGGGACCCAGACCCGCCTCCCCCACCCCCTAGGTTTTAAGGACTATTTATATTGGCAGTACACAACTTCCTGATTCGAAAAACAAGTCTTTAAAGATCTCATAAAACTTCTTGGACTTCAGATGGTTTTCACAAAACAATACGCAGATGAGCTAAGTGTAAATGAATCAGAGAAGAGGATTATATTTCCCATAAAAACTTATGAGCTTGAGGATTAGGAGAAGAAAGGAAAGCTGGCAAATGCCAAACATTTTATAGCACTTTGAAACCATTAGTCAAACTTAAAATGCAGCCAGGTTCTCTCATCCTTATGCTTCTTGAGTTTTGTCATTGAAAAATCTGTTCCTGCATTTCAGATGGGCTGCAAATCAAATTTCGTGGCTGCCTGTGATCTGAACTGCTTCCACTCATGTTTTCTTCCATCCCAGGGTTTCACAGAGCACCTTCCGGTTCCCTTCTGGTTACATCAAGAAATTCTTAGAAAGAGAAAGAGAGGAGAGAAGGGAACAGAGAAACTGGAAGTCAACGTGTTGTAGATAAAAGGAAGAGACTGAAGGAGAGTGAGGGGGAGAAAGACTGAGGAATGGAAGAGGAGGAGCAGCCTCAGGGTGGCTCCCCAGACCATGGCCTGCACTCCGTACTCACTGCTGCAGGCTGCTCCATCAAGGTCATTGCCACGCTTCCCTCAAGCGTCCCTCCAGCACACAGACCGGGAAACAGACCAGGGAATTGGTGGATGCAGAGAGGAGCCCGGAATCACACCTCAGCCAACGAACCTTATTCCATCTCTAAGAACCGTGATGAGAGTGCCATTGATGAGAGTAACTCAATTACAGTTCTTTTATACTTCTATCGGGATGAAGATCCATGGGGGAAATAGAGGCTCAGGAGAGATGCCAGTAGAAGTTATTACTTTGGTCTTTACTGAAATATCCACACCCTAGCTGGCTGTCCTAGGACTTGACAAAAATGTAAACCTGACAATAAACCCAGAGTCCCTGTTTATCTGATTTTTTTTCAATATTACATGTATAGTTTCATTACAGACAGATCAAACCGCCAGAAGCAGTAGCTATCTAGGATTGGAATACACTTGATTGCCAACTGTTAGTAAAAGTTCATGCCGTGGTGAAAGCCGTGAAAAGGGCGCAGGACTGTCACTTCTGTGCTTGGAGAGCCTGTTCTCCCTCACTTCTCAGGGATAAATGTTTTTCAAAGTTCTGAAATTCCTCATGACCCAGCTATGATGTGAGTGATCATCCCCCCTGGTAAAATTTAAAGGACTTTTTAAAAGTCACTAATATAGATAAAATAATGAGTAGGTGATTTGGATCATTTTATTTTGAACTCTTTGGTTAAATATTTTGTCTATATATCGCCTTGGCTATGAAAAATTCAAGTTCATAGTAACTATTGAGGGATAATACTCTGATTTCAGGGAGAAATCCAATTTTGTAAGTCAAATAGTGACATGATGATTATTTTGATTTTACATTTTCCCCATGTATTTCTTATTCTATTAATTAGCCTAAATGATGAGACCAGATCAATCTCTAGATATTTTCACTGGTACAAAAATCTGGGTAGAAAAGTCTATCCCCTTTTACAATGATGCCTTATTTTAAAAAATCATTATAAATATTGGCCAACAAGAACAATCCTAAACAATCATAATCAAACTACACTGTAAAAGAAGACTTTGTTGGGAAGAATTTACCTCTTCCAAAATTAGCACGTATTTCAATTTCTTAGAATAGCACACCCAAGAAATTGGGACATACTCCTTAATTATTCATTCTGTTGATAGAACATTCCTGCTAGATAAGTTGTTTTTTGCTTTGGTTTTATGTCTTAGACCATTGCTCATCCTATAATACAGTTTTATGCAGAAATATTTCAACTATGTAAATGGTTGTTCTGGAAATTATCAAGTTATAATATTTTAATGGGGGTGAAATGGCATCTTTGTCCATAGGAGAAGAATTGTAAGTAAAGTTTAAAATTCCAAGTCGAAAGGAAAAAAGAAGGAAGAGAAGAGAGTGGGAAAACAAAAAGAGGAGGAGGGAGGTGTGGAAGGAAAGAATAAAAAGAGGTGAAAGGAGGTAAGGAAGAAAGAGGAACTCACTGGAGAACGGGAAGTAAAGGAGGAATCAGTGGAGGAGAAGGTAGACAATGAAGAAGTGGGAAGAGGGGAAAGGGGAAAAATTGCAGTGTAAGGAGAGAAGAATTATACCCAAAATCTATGGGCTAATGTTTCGAGGCTGCTCACTAAGATTCTGGCGGCCGTTTCTGCACATGGGCTGGTGCTGACCTGAATATCAGCTCAAGTCCAGGTTTGGACTGGACTTCAACCTGCGACCACAGAAGTTGATAATGTGGTTTGGCCGGTGGCTGTCCCACACCTCGTGCAAAGCGGAAGAGACAGGAAGTGTCTGCCCCACAAGCAGGTGGCCCAAGATGCCGCTTCAGCCCGAGGCTCCCACAAATAGGGGCTTCGGTCACTCTCATGATTCTCCCCCTTGTGCTTTCTACCATGTCATCAAAAAGCCGAGAGAAGGCTTTTTGGAGTGTGCGACCTCCCCCACATTTCACCCAGCTTCCATGAAAATTCACATGGAACTCTACAAGTGACAAATTCATGCTGAGACTCCTCAGGAAGAGGGTATCAGTGTGTCCGCCAAGCTGTGCAAGCAAGACAGAGGTAGGGCGATGGGCAGCGAGCAGTGAGGTGCCCCCGGAACTGAGCGACAAGTGCACCTGGAGTTTTCCCCCGGGCTCCTCTTCCCTTCAAAGCCCCAGTTTTGACGGGGAAGCATTTTTCCTTGCCATTCAACAAGCATTCAGTAAAGCCACCCTTGGGCCCTCAGCTAGCCATCAGAGCAAAAATCAAAACAGAATTCCACTGCAGGTGAAGAAGTTAAAACAACGCCTCACTGAACTGCAGCCCAAAGTTGCCCCTGGGCTAGTAAGTGCCCAGTGGTGGCCCTATAGACCCCGTCCACAGGGAACATGCTGTCTCATGGGGCAAACAGACCTGGCAGGAATAGTTTTGTGTGTGGCGAGGATGGACAAAGGACTGTGGGGAATGAGACCCAGAAGAGGAAGAAGAGTCAGGGACACGGGCTGCCTTCCTGCAAATTTAGAAGAGTCCATCAACAGAGGTGAACTCTGAAAATAAAGCTTTGTGTACACTGAACTTCCCTTGCTGACTACGGTGGTCCCGTTTCACTTGCCTTACATACAACCCAAGGTGGGACTCTCACAATGGCGGCTGCGCAGGACAACGAAATGCCTGTGTTGACCACCAACCTGGTCAACAGATATGTTCACCAGCTTAGCTTTTGCTGAGTTTTTTTTTCATCTCCATTTACTCAGAACTTTTGGACATGAGACAGTGTAATAACTAAATAGCTATCAATACAATTTTATTTACACCTGTCCTTCACACCACCTTCCAAACTTCTCTGGGCCAAATTGCAAACACGAGGGTACAGAAAATTCACATCCTTGCTCTCCTGGTGTTTGCGTCTTGGAAAACCCTAGGATGTACACCAAACTGAGAAGCACCTCAGCAGAGCAAGCTATGAACAGGTGCCTTTTGATCACAAAAAGGTTCCCAATTACTTGCATTTTACTGTGGTATCTTAGTTAGAAACTCTTCTTTGACCTGCCACTCAGTCATGGAAGTTTTCTTGGTTTCTGGGCTTAAATTTAAGTTCAAGGATGCCCAGACACCTGCAAGGTTGGTCGAGTGCCAGGTGGGCAAGCAAAGTAATGTTTTCCCCATTCAGATTCAGCTACTTATAAATTGTCCTCCGATTTTAAAAGGAATCTTCTGCTTTGCTTCTGTTTCAATGCTTCCCAGGGTGTGAGTTGCTTGGATTGCTTCTGTACGTAAATCTCAGGACACGAGTGATTGTTATTTCTTTCGTCTACCTTAATTTTCACCCAGTGGCAGCAGAACATGATGTTGCCTGAGGTTAACGGGATTGTAACTGCTCCACCCCCAAACGTTCCCTCTGTTGACATTAAATTGATGAAGATACCATTGAATGTCTTCAGCAGTCTAGGGAAAAAGAAGAAAATGAGAGAAGTTACTACACCCCGCTCGACATATCAGAGTCTTCCCGTCTGTTTCTCTGAGTCCCCACGCCCTTCACAGATGACCTCCTCACTTTTTTGGCCTCATCCTGGGCTGCTCCCTGACATGCAGCTTCTGTTCCAGCAACACTGACCTGCTTTTCTTCTTTCTTTTGGAAAGAAAGGAAAAGGAAAAAGACTGGTCAGCTGCTGGCCTACAAAAACAGGACACCCACATTCCTGCCTCCATCCTCCCCTCACATCGGCCTCCCGAAGTACCTTTGTCTCCTCCACTGAGTCTTCCTCTTCCTTCAAAATTGTGATCCTTTACTTCCCCGAAGCTCTTTGGCCCATCCTAAACCTCTGTACCCTCTGTGGCTTTTATCCTCCACCTCAGGCATAAGCATGGAACACAGGTTTTGTAATAGATGAAGAACACTTCTTGCAGGTGAATCTTTTTTTTTTCCCTCCTTGGTCCTAGTAAGATAAACCAGAATTAAGGTGAGTAAGTCATGGTTACTAATCGTTGAGGTTTGGTTGCTTAGCTTTGGCTTTCTGCAGGCAGAGTTCTGAGCAATGGGGTTTGCCCAAACTTTCCCCCAACCTAAACGAAGTTGAACAAAACAGTAGCCTGCTTTAGGGGGGAAAAAAGTTTCCTAACTCTGAATTAATGTTTTGGAAAGTTCTGTAGAAAGAATCTTGTCATGTGGGTCTGAAAACTGTTACATTGCCAGAGTTATATCATTAAAACAGTCAATGCTTTTATAACATCTCCAGTTTGTTACCCTCTCAACTTACCCCATTACTGGAGACTCGGACATACTCTGAGAACGCACCTAGTAAAAAACCCACATGACACGGATGAACTGAGCCATATACAGAAGTAACTCACACCACCGAAGAAACACCAGCTACGGATGCAGCGTTAGGCCTGGCTTTCTAAACAGTGAGGGGAGACCAGTAAAACCAGCCCAGCGTCTGATTGCTCCAGGTTTCCTCCTCCTGAAGCCCCAACGACCGCTGAGAGGGATCAAGTTACATCTGCCAGCTGCCAAGAACTTTACACTTAACCCTTCCCAGTCCATGACCTGGACGTTAAGGCTGCCATTTCAGCTACTGGAAGGAGCATCTTCAGTCTTTCATCTTCTTTTCCCTACGTACAGTCACTGGCCCACGCCCCCAGCGATGCGGCCTGTGCCCACACGACTTCCAGGCCCCCACCTCGTCTGTGGTTCCCGCGTGGAGGACAGAGACCTTGTGTCGTACACCCCCACACCTAACGCAATGTGCTCGTCAGAGTGAGTGTGAAACGTTTGGTGAGAATGAGCGTCCCTTTGGAAGCCTAGTTACAGTGGGTGGTCCAGAACAAGAAGCCTTCTAACAATCTTTTTTTTTTTCATCATGAGCACAAACTTTGCCCAAGATCCTTAAGTTGTCAAGGATCTGGAGCCTGATTCACTCATTCAGTCATTCACTGCCTCCGCCTCCTTTATTCACTGCACATTCTGCCGGCCAATGATTTCTTAATTATCAAAAATGAGGAAAGGATTTCAGACGTTTGTGTTAGGGATCTAACATTCCTGACTTAGCCAGGAATCTCTCCGAAAATTGGGGAAATTGTCTTTGGAAGGCACGTGATGAAGTGATGGATAGGTGAAATCTCTTTCTACAATTTTCTTGCAGAAAAATCATTAGAAAATTGTTGGCAGAAAAGTCTCTACGAGCACATGTAATGACATCCACACAATGGGATGTCGTGGGTAACCCATAGATGACCCTGAATTATCTACGCCCCAGGAAGGAGTAGCAGGTATAGTTAAAGCACAGACTTTGAGTCAAACGCCGTGGGCTCACTCCTCAGTTCTGTTCCGCATGGGAGCGGATGTGGAGCATTGGCTCCTGTTCCGGATGAAGCCAGGAAGCAGCTGCCTGGGCATTCAGGGCCTGACCTCTGAACCACCCCGAACGGCCACGCGGATGAGGGAATGGTTCTGAGTCCCACAGTGCCGTCCTGGGAGCTAGTTCTCAGCTGGAGGCAGTTGGAAATAGATCGTCTCAGCCTTCGGTTCTAAGGCTGTCAAGCTTGCCGTTTTATTTTATCACTTCACGGTTCAACACAGAGAATAATAATGTCTTAGTGGTCATCAAGTTTCCTGGTAGCCAGCTTTTTCTCTACCCATTGACTCACTATTCAGAGTAGGATTAAGCTGTTTCTGGGGAGTTAGAGCCAGGGATACCAAAAGCTGCTGAGTCACTTGGTGGGGGAAGGTCACAAGATGACTATTTCCAGTGCTCTTGTCTGAAGAGAACAGAATCAGGCTGGGAGGGAACTAAGAGATGGAAGAGGAGACCTCGGTTTTACAAAGCAGGGTGCTGGGAGGAAGAGAAAGGAAGAGAGTGATTGATGTTCATTCACTGCGCACGTGCAAAGGCCCATGAACAGCGTGGGAGGACTCAGCATCTGCCATCAGCGCCGGGGGCCTTTCCAGAGATGTTTGCCTTTGTAACCAAAAGGTGGCATTCCGTGGTATAACAAACCATGTACTTCTCTAAGTTTCTATTTTCTTATCAGTGAAATGGGAACAATACTAACACAGGGTTCATCAAGCTTTTTCAGAAAAGGGCCTGATAGTAAACATTTTGAACTTTGCATGACATGCGGTCTCTGTCACCACTACTCAGTGCAGCATGCAGATTTTGTCTTTATGTGTCGTCACCGTAGACAATACATAAAGGGAAGAACTGGGCAGAGTTGCCTGCAGCCCACAGTGCACCAACACCGGGTGTACAGAGAGGGTAGCAAGAATTAGATGAGCTAATCCAGGAAACATTTTTGTTTGCTTTGTTTCTCAATTACAATTTACATCCAATATTGTTTTATATTAGTTGCAGGTGTATGGCATAGTGGTCAGACAATTGTCTACTTTACAAAGTGCTCCTCCCAATAGTTCCAGTACCACCTGAACCCATACGTAGTTATTACAATATTACTGACTACATTCCCTGTGCTGTACTTTCTATCCCTGTGACTCATCTGTAACTACCAATCAGCACTTCTCAATCCCTTCTCCTTTTTCCCCAGTCTCCCAACCCGCCCACCCATCAGTCTGTTCTCTGTATCTGTGCATCTGTTTCTGTTGTGTTTGTTCATTTACATCGTCCAGGTAACATCCTTAACCGCAGGTCAGTGCTCAGTAAATGTTAGCTGTGATTGCTGCTCTGATTTTAGACTCTCCCCCTGTATGTGCCACCTCGGCTCACTTTCGTGAGTGACGGAGATGTCAGAGCTCATCCGGAGAGATTTCCATCCCTCAAGCTCTCGGGTATGTGGGGTGGGGGTTGGGGGAGAATCAGCAGTGGAGTTCTCTGAGAAGAGCCCTGACATGGAGTTGAGTGAAAGGGATGTTCATTAAGAAACGCCTTTGGGAGCTTCCCCGTGGGAAGGAACAGAAGGAAGCAGGACTGGGCAAAGGGAGAAGTCAAGTGGCCCAGCAACAGGCTGTGTCAAGTCCACGGGGACCGCTGGAGTGAAAATGGCCCTCAGATTTGGCCCACGTTGGGTCAGAGAGGCTGGGCCTCTGTATCCCCGCCTGGAGCAGTTGTCGGATGTGGGCCGCCCCAGGGGAGGGTGTGTCCCACCCGGGGGAGGGTGTGTCCTTGGGTGAGGCAGCTCTGTGGCTTAGACACACCGGGAGGGACCAGCAGGTAAAGCCTCCCCACCGACTGCACACCCAGCGACCAGGGCGGCAAGAAGGAGAGAAGATGTGGCCCATTCTGACGATGAATTGTACACAGAAATGACACGTGTCATTTGCATTTAATTATTGCTTGCAAGACTCTCCGGAGATCTAGTCTTTCATAGTGACCCGCAATTTCAAGGCAGCGGCTGCTTCCTCATCCTGGGTTCCAGAGGGACCACAGTGAACAGAGGCCCCTGTCAACCTGTAGTGGAAACACAATGGGAGCATGACTTCCGTGTGCGTTCCTTAAAGCCACCGAGATTTGGCACATCTCTGCCACCCCCACCCCCCAACCAGAGGTAACAACCACAAACCAGGCCTGAGATCCATGGTTCAAATTCACTCTCTTGCCTATTGTGACACCATTTTAAGCCAAAGAAATGGAACATGGTCCTAGATGAGTAGCTCCCCAAGCACTTGGCAAAAGTAAACGCAAACAGAAAGACTAAACACTCAGGTTAAGTCCCACAACACTCTCCCAGATAACACCCCAACAAAATGAGCTCACAGTGCAAAATCCCAAGACCACTCACAGAGCAAGACACTGTGGGACGAGAGTCAGCAAGAAAGCCAGATGGCAGAATGAGACCCAAATGCCTTTAGATGTTAGAATTATCACATGTAATATGACATGCCAACTTTTTTCTCCAAAGGGCCAGATACTATATATTTTAGGCTCTGCAAGCCATTCAGTGTCGACCAAAAAGACTCAGCTTTGAAACTCTAGGGTGAAAGCCAACACGGGCGGTGTGTGAATTAAAGGGCGTGGCTGTGTGCCAATAAAGCTTTGTTTACGGAAACAGGGAGTGTGCCGGAGTTGGCCAGCAGACCACAGTTTCTTAAATAAGTATGTCTTCAATATTTAAAGAATTAAAACCTGAGCAAGGAATAAAATGCTATCATAAATATTCAAGGGGACCTGTATCTTCTGGAAGAAAAACGTGTAGTTGAAATTTTAATGAGTTAACTAGCAGATAGAATGGCAAAACATAAATTGTGAGTTGAAAGTTGGATACAACAAACAAAATTACTTAGAATATAGTACAGAGAAGCAAAGATGAGAAAATTATTAAAGGGAACTTACAAATATGGAAATTTGGAGTAAGAAGTTCTAACATTGATCTCATCTGCGTTCCAGAGGAATGAGTGGAAAGAGTAGGAGATACAATATTCAAGAATTTCCATGGATCCTTACATTTAGGAAATATAGAGTCTTTTTAAAAACAGTTACCCCTGACACAGCCTGGTGAAATTACAGAACATTAAAAACAAGCTCCAAAGCCTAAACATACATAGCCTGAGTGGAAGACAGCTTACCTGCTGGACACCTGACTCCTTACCAGCAATTTCAGACACTGAAAGACTACCAGGTAAGTCTTCGACATGCCAAAAGAAAATAATCGTCAATTTATAATTGTGTACCCAAGAAAACCTATGATTCAAGAGTGGGGATGAAAGAGAAGTGTTTCGGTGAGCAAAAATAAGATAATTTATTGTCAAGAGGCCCTTAGTAAAGGAATTTCTTAAAAGTATACACTTTAGGGATGGAAAAAGGATGGTAACCAAGTGAGCAAAGAGAATGGTAATCATGTAGATACATTTAAATAAGCATTGACATTAATAACAACATCTAATTTGTAAAGTTAAAAAAAAGTGTGAGAGAGGTACATGGGCTTCTAAAGTAGAGATAATATCCTGTTTCTTAAAATAGTAGGTACATAAATGTTCACG